CTCAGTTTCTCTGACTGAGGTGAATCTTTCTTTCTTTCTTTCTTTCTCTCTCCCTCTCTCTCTCTCTCTCTCTCTCTCCCCATCTCTCCCCCCCTTCCTTCCTTCCTCTTTAAAACTGTCCTATTTCCTCAGTTTTTCTGGCTGAGGTGGGTCTTCCTTCCTTTCTTTCTTTCTTTCTCTCTCTCTCTCCCTCTCTCTCCCTCTCTCTATTTCTTCCCCCCCTTCCTTCCTTCTTTAAAACATCCTATTTCCTCAGTTTCTCTCACTGAGGTCGGCCTTTCTTTCTCTCTTTCTTTCCATCTCTCTCTCTCTCACACACACACACACACTCACTCCATCTCTCTTTCTTTCCCTTCCTTCCTCTTTAAAATGCCCTATTTCCTCAGTTTCTCTAGCTGAGATGGGTCTTTCTTTCTCTCTCTCTCCATCTTTCTCTTTCTTTTCCCCCTTTCTTCCTTTTTTAAAACATCCTATTTCCTCAGTTTCTTTGGCTAAGATGGGTCCTTCCTTCCTTCCTTCCTTCCTTCCTTCCTTCCTTCCTTCCTTCCTTCCTTCCTTCCTTCCTTCCTTCTCCCTCTTTCTTTCTTCCTATCTCTTCCTTCCTTCTTCCTTCCTTCCTTCCTTCCTTCCTTCCTTCCTTCCTTCCTTCCTTTCTTTCTTTCTTTCTTTCTTTCTTTCTTTCTTTCTCCCCGCTTCCTCTTTAAAACATCCTTTCTTCCATTTCTCTGGCTGAGGTGGGCCTCCCTCCCTCCCTCCTGGCCTGCTTTTCCTGTGATGTGGGGCAAGAGGCTGCACATCTGGAGTGGAGGAGGATGCTTTCTTTCCCATGCTTCCCATCCTCCCCCCCCCCTTTTCATTCATTCTGGGAACTTCCCAGCATAAGTGAGAGGACTGACTGAGACTGAAGATTGCCTGGGATTCATGTTCCCAAAAGCAGCTTTATTTTGAAGCTGCTTTTGTCTCCCGGCCAGTGATGGAAATGTGGAGGGGGAAATCATGCTTGCTTTGGGGGGTTTATAAAAAAAAACGGGGGTTCCCCTCAATAAGACCTGATGGATGAGCCAATTTATTCAGCATCCTTCATTGATTCACTCCATCAAACCCCCAATCTGTTTAATCTGGAATAATTATCCCCCCGGGCTCTGCAATTGTAAAGTTCAGAAAGAATATTTAACACGCAGCTCTTCCTTTCCCAGAGGCTGTTTTAAAGTAAATCTATTATAATTTCCAAAAGACTCTTTTAAAGTCCTCTACATATCGCCTTCATTAATTTTCAGCACTGCATTACTTTTTTTTACCGTGTTGTCTTTTGGATCATTGCATCAGTACTACAGCGTTGGTACCGCTAGTTTCTATCCTGATTTTTTTCTTTTCAGGAAAGCTCGTTTTTTATTCTTAGAACAAGTCCTGGGAGATTGGAGGAGTGGATCTTAAGGTAAGGGTTAGGGAAAAATGAAGATTTTTTTTCCCTCTTTTCCTCCAGTTCTGTATTGTATGTATTTAGGATGGTATTTCAAGTTCCCTTAAGCAAATTTTGGCGGTCCGGATCCATTGCACAATTGGTATTTAAGCTGGTTTGAAGTTTGTTACTAACATTCTATAGGTTTCATGGAAAAAAACATTCTTGGGGTTATAAATGTAATTACGGTATATTATAAGAAGGAGACGCGGTGTATATAATATGGGGGACGCGGTGGCTCAGTGGCTAAGACGCTGAGCTTGTCGATCGAAAGGTTGTGAGTTCAGCAGTTCGAATCCCTAGCGCCGCATAACGGGGTGAGCTCCCGTTGCTTGTCCCAGCTTCTGCCAACTTAGCAGTTCGAAAGCACGTAAAAAATGCAAATAGAAAAATAGGGACTACCTTTGGTGGGAAGGTAACAGCGTTCCATGCACCTTTGGTGTTGAGTCATGCCGGCCACATGACCACGGAGACGTCTTCGGACAGCGCTGGCTCTTCGGCTTTGAAACGGAGATGAGCACCACCCCCTAGAGTCGGGAACTGCTAGCACATATGTGCGAGGGGAATCTTTACCTTTACCTATAAGAAGGAATGATAAGAAATCTCCCTAATCTTGTGTTTCTGATCCCTATAATATTAGCCCTATTTTTTTTTCCCATGCCGTTGAAATGGGCATGGGACGGTTTGAACATTTTTGAACTCATGCTGACCAGCATTATTAGATCTGTTGATTGCCACAAAGAAAGTTTGGAGCTTCTGATTGCTGATTGACAAATGCTGATTGAAATGCGGATTTCAATCACAAATCCAGAACTATTGCATTGGGAAGTACGTACCGGTATATATAGAATATAAAATGCTGGATTAGGTCAGCCTAAACGGCAGATAATAACAGCAGTGTAACTTCATTCGGTCGAAAGGAAGTTACGTGATCTTCAGATCAGTCAAATTGATGCGATTACTGGGGTGTAACTATTTGAAATCCAATGTGACCCACAGAGTGAAATCCTTAACTCTGTTTCCCCCAAAATAAGACCTCCCCTGATAATAAGCCCAATTGGGTTTTGGAGCGCATGGCAATAAGGCCAAGCACTTATTTCAGGGTTCAAAAAAATATAAGACAGGGTCTTATTTTCGGGGAAACACGGTAGATACAGATGATAGATAAATAGTAAGACAGACAGACAGGTAGGTAGGTAGGTAGGTAGGTAGATAGATAGATAGATAGATAGATAGATAGATAGATAGATAGATAGATAGATATAGACAGAGACAGATACCCCGTTTCCCCCAAAACAAGACCTCCCCTGATAATAAGCCCAATCGGGCTTTGGAGCGCATGGCAATAAGGCCAAATGCTTATTTCAGGGTTCAAAAAAATATAAGACAGGGTCTTATTTTTGGGGAAACACGGTACTGAGTGGAGTTGAGACTCTAGAAAGAGAGCGTGAAGATCAGCAAAAGGGGCAGAGGCCAAAAATGTAAGAAGAACATTTGCAGGAATCGGATATTTCTAGTCTGGTGAAAAGAAGGATTAGGGGGTGGCATGATAGCAGTTTTTTCCAATATTTCTGCCACAAAGAGGAGGGGAATCAACCTCTTCTCCAAAGCACCTGAAAGCAGGAGAAGAAGCAACGACGGATGGAAACTAATCAAGGAGAGAAGCAACCTAGAACTAAGGAGAAACTTCCTAACGGTGAGAGCAATTAATCAGTGGAACTCCTTGCCTCCAGAAGTTGTGGGTGCTTCATCATTAGAGGTTTTTGAGAAAAGATTGGGACAGCCATTTGGTATGGGGTCCTCTTTGAGCAGGGGGTTGGACTACAAGACCTCCGAGGTCCCTCCCAACTCTGCTCTGTTTTGCCTTAGTAAACAAATTCAGCTGAATTTTTTGCCTGGGAGTGTTGTGTAAATCTAATCCAGTCAGTCCTCCGTTTCACCCCCTTGGAAAAAAACTGAGGGATGTTTGCCATTTGAAGGGATTAATCAGCTTGAAGAATGTCTAATCCACTCGGCCGACCACTGTTGAAATCCACCCAGATTCCGTTGACCGAGTCTGCTTCGGTTGCGAAATTCCCCCACTCCTCCCTTTTTCAGACGGTTTCTTCCTTGTATTTTGCAAGAAAAATGAGAGAGAGAGAAAAAAAGGCTGGCTTGAGGGAAGGGAAGTGACTCCTTACCAACCGCTTCCCAAAAAGAAGGAGGCGTTGCAAGGAAGACATTTCACTCGTTGCAAGCACCGTTTCCTCAAAAATGCTGCTTCTTACCAAGTCAACTTCATTTCTTTCTTTCTTTTTTTTCAGGGTTTATAATTCAGTACAGGTAGTCCTCGACTTACAACACTTCATTTAGTGACCGTTCCAGCTGGACAGCTTTATTGATTAGCCGATAGGCCATATCAAAGCACAAAGTTGAAACACATACCGTGTTTTCCCGAAAATAAGACCCTGTCTTATATATTTTTGAACCCCGAAATAAGCGCTTGGCCTTATTTTCAGGGAGGTCTTATTATTTTGGGGCGCGTGGAGTAAGACGGGGCTCCTCTTGCCGTCTTACCTGATTTCCAGCTCTGCGTTTAAATACTTATAAGTATTTGTAGAAGGAGTTCCAGATTCTGTAACAGCTTTGTTTCTTATGCCATCCATTTTGTAAACTCGCAGGATTCTTTTTTCCCGCCCTATACATATACATGGCGAGAAAAACTAATCTTGTGAGTTTACCAGATGGATCAGTGGTGGGTTGCCCCCGGTTCACATCGGTTCTATAGAACCGGCGGGAGGCTCTGCCCACCGACCTCACATCATCAGAATTCTCCGCGAGCGGCCCTGTTGTAAACCAGTAGTAAAGGTAAGTAGAACCCACCCCCGAGACGGATGGCATAAGGAACAATGTTACAGAACTGTTACAGAATCTAGTGGTCCTGCTAGAAATACTTTGAAACCTCCTCCCAGAGGGGAGCAACAGAAACAGACCATAAAGTGGGTGTGTGGGATCTCTGACAATGTTTTGAGCTCTAAGCACATAGCGCTTATAAGCAGTATCCTGAATAACGGGAAGTGAGCTTCCTGTTATCTTCTCCACTGTCCTCACCACTCTCTGTATTGACTTTCTATCTGAGGCACTGCTATGTATATGCATACATTCGAACTAGACCGTGATGTTTCTTTGTGTCATGTGTGGGTATATGCACAACGGTTATCTTTTGAGAGCTGAATGCACCGAGATTTCATTTTAAGGTATGCTGATTTCGTGTACCTTTAAAGTGACAATACAGTTTTTATTCCAGTCTAAAATTCGATTCTAATTGACCCCGTCCCAATTTATTTTCCTAATTTTCACCAGATCAGTCATGTTTGAAATTAAGAAAATCTGCTGTATCGGTGCTGGTTACGTTGGTGGGCCAACATGTAGTGTTATTGCTCAGATGTGCCCCAAAATTAAAGTCACCGTGGTCGATGTTAATGAAGCTCGAATTGGGGCCTGGAATTCTGACATCCTTCCGATTTATGAGGTATAGTGGCTCAGTAATATTTTCCATCCTTCCTTTTTTGTTCTGGCTGTTTTTATGCTGCGTTTCACGCGCCTGGATTTTTGCAACGCTGCTGCTATCTTTATGAAATCCAGTCTTGTTATTAATCATTTTTACGTAGTGTTCTGGGGTGGCTAATGGAAGATCCTCCTGTTATTTATTTATTTATTTATTGGTTCGATTTATATGCCGCCCTTCTCCAGAGACTCAGGGCCTCGCAGCAAACAGCCTGCTTTAGTTTCGTTTTCAACACAGGCTGATTAGCACAAGGAAAAAAACAAAATCTGCCTCCCAGCAATTTGCCTGCTTGCAGGAGCCTCGGGTGGCAATCACTGACAATCAACTGCTTGTGCTAATCAGGCTGTGCTGAAGCTGAAATGGGCAGTTTGCTGCTTGCTGCAAGGAGGTAAATTGCTGGGAGGCTGAGACCGAAGAGTTGGGGCCGGCGGGGCTACATTCAGTGTATAAGACGCACCCAAATTTTCACCCTCTTTTGGGGGGCGGAAAAGTGCGTCTTATACTCTGAAAAATATGGTATTTATTTATTCAATTTCTACAGCCGTCCATCTTCACAAATGACTCTGGGTTCTACTATAATTTATTATTATACTATAATTTGATCAGGCTTCGTCCCTTTGGGACATGTTCCTCTTGAATAAAACCCATCGAATATGCTTTATTTGTTGATTATTTTGTTTTCAGCCAGGACTTAAAGAGGTAGTAGAATCTTGCAGAGGGAAGAATCTGTTTTTCTCCACCAACATCGATGAGGCTATCAGAGAAGCCGATCTTGTATTTATTTCTGTAAGTAATTAATTTTACTTTTTAAAAGTTCAGATCAGAGGGAAACAGGAGGAAACTAGGAGAGGCCCAGTTAATCACAAATGCCGCCAGTATTTTCACTCAGCTTCCAAATTCATTTATTTTATTTATTTTATTTTATTTTGAATTTGTATACCGCCCTTCTCCCTGAGGACTCAGGGCGGTGAACAGCCAAATAAAAACATCAAATACAAATATTAAAATACAGTTAAAAATATATATAGATTTGGCCCCATTAATTAAAATGATAAACAAAACAAAACAATTAAAAACCCTTAAAAAGAATTAAGCCAGCCCGGCTTGTTGGAAAAAGAAAGTTTTAAGGGCACGGCGGAAGGCACTGAGGTCATGGATTCTCCTTATCTCAGGGGGCAACTGATTCCAGAGGGTGGGTGCCCCCACAGAGAAGGCCCTCCCCCTGGGGGTCACCAGCCTGCATTGTTTGGCTGATGGCACCCCGAGGAGGCCCTCTCTGTGGGAGCGCACGGGTCGGTGGGAGGTCGTCGGTGGCAGTAGGCGGTCTCGAAGATAGCTAGGCCCTATCTAGGCCCTAGCTATCATTGATGTTCAGACCCAATGAATTTGGGTCTCCTCTTTCAAACAATCTCTTAACCTAGGTTAATACGCCAACGAAGACCTACGGGATGGGGAAAGGCCGGGCTGCCGACCTGAAATATATCGAGGCTTGCGCAAGAAGGATCGTGCAAAACTCCAACGGTTATAAAATTGTGACTGAGAAAAGCACCGTTCCCGTGCGGGCCGCGGAGAGCATCCGCCGGATATTTGACGCCAACACAAAACCGAATTTAAATCTGCAGGTAAAATATCGAGAATTGCGAACCGAAGCGATGGGGTTCTCGTCGGCGCACCGGGAAAACGGTCTTTGTTCTTGGCTGCAGGTCTTGTCCAACCCGGAATTCTTAGCGGAGGGCACAGCTGTCAACGACCTCAAGAATCCAGACCGAGTATTGATAGGAGGAGACGAGACCCCCGAGGGGCAGAAAGCCGTCCGTGCGTTGTGTGCTGTCTATGAGCAGTGGGTGCCCAGAGAGAAGATCCTGACCACGAATACGTGGTCTTCGGAGCTCTCCAAACTGGTTGGTATCCTAGGGAAAGGTAGAATGGCACACAGGTAGCCCTCGGTTTACGATCTTTCATTTAGTGGCGAGATGGCGCAGTAGTTAAGAGTGCAGTACTGCAGGCTACTTCTGCTGACTGCTGGCTGCCTGCAATTTGGCAGTTCGAATCTCACCAGGTTCAAGGTTGACTCAGACTTCCAGCCTTCCGAGGAGGGTAAAATGAGGACCCAGATTGTTTCGGGCAAGAGGCTGACACTGTAAACCGCTTAGAGAGGGCTGCAAAGCACTGTGAAGTGGTATATAAGTCTCAGAGCTATTGATAAATAGGGAGGGAGGGAGGAAAGGAAGGGAGGAAGGGAAGGGAAGGGAAGGGAAGGAAGGAAGGAAGGAAGGAAGGAAGGAAGGAAGGAAGGAAGGAAGGAAGGGCTCCGGTGGTGCAGTGGTTAGAATGCAGTATTGCAGGCTAGTTCTGCTCACTGCCAGGGGTTCGATTCTGACCGCCTCAAGGTTGACTCAGCTTTTTGTCCTTCCAAGGTGGATAAAATGAGGACCCAGATTGTTGGGGGCCATAGGCTGACTCTATAAACCGCTTAGAGAGGGCTGTAAAAGCACAGTGAAGTGGTATATAAGTGCTGTTGCTAGTGTCCATCCAAGGAGCCCTGGTGGCACAGCAGACTAAAGCACTGTTATTAACATCAGCTGCCTGCAATTACTGCAAGTTCAAATCTCACCAGGCTCAAGGTTGACTCAGCCTTCCATCCTTTCTAAGGTAGGGCTCCCATTAACTTGTCCCAGTTTCTGCCAACCTAGCAGTTCGAAAGCACTTAAAAAAATGCAAGTAGGAAAATAGGAACCACCTTTGGTGGGAAGGTAAGAACTTTCCGTGCGCCTTTGGCGTTGAGTCATGCTGGCCACATGACATCAGAGACGTCTTCGGACAGCGCTCGCTCTTCGGCTTTGAAACAGAGGTGAGCACCGCCCCCTAGAGTCAGGAACGACTAGTACATATTATACATACTTTACCTTTATAGTCCCAACTTCAATAATGATTGGACATTCTCACACCTGGTCGGAAGAAGGCAGAGTGATGCCACCCGTCAGACTGCACGGTGATTGTACCACGTGGCTGATTGTTGTGAGAAAATAGAAAATCTTTTACTTTTAATAAGGTGAAAACTGCGGGAGTTTTCAGAGTCGGTTTTCACCAGATATGTGCCAATATATCACAAGATATGTGCCAACAGAGCCTTGATAGTACAGGGGTTTAGTGCACCCTGTAATTAACACAGCTGCCTGCAATTTCTGCTGGTTCGAATCTCTCCAAGGCTCAAGGTTGACTCAGCCTTCCATCCTTTCTAAGGTAGGTGAAATGAGGACCCAGTTTGTGGGGGCAATAAGCTGACTTTGTAAAAATATACAAAAGTATGAAGGCTATTGCTTAACGCATTGTAAGCCGCCCTGAGTCTCCGGAGAAGGGCGGCATATAAATCAAATTAAAAAAAAAAAAAAAAAATAACTCTGTGCCTTGCTTTCTCTTGGCTTCAACCCTAGGCAGCCAACGCTTTCCTCGCTCAGAGGATTTCCAGTATCAATTCCATCAGTGCGCTGTGTGAAGCCACGGGCGCTGATGTCGAAGAGGTGGCCAGAGCCATCGGAATGGACCAAAGAATTGGAAACAAGTTCTTGAAGGCCAGCGTTGGTAAGTTCTGAAGAGCGGTGATCTTCTAGTTGGGAGAGATCCGAGGATGAAGAAGTTTAGTTAAAACTATTTCTAGGCCACCCTGAAAGTCAAAAAAAATCTACCTACTTAAACCTGGCTTCTGTAGTAAGGTATTCCTCAGTTTATGACCATAATTGAGCCCAATTATTCTTTTTTTTTTTTTTTTTTTGTATAATGTGATTACATTGTCCATAAATATAAAGTCATTCCTTTATACGTACATATTTGCCATCATATACATACATCATCAAATATCTATTCTATCCCACCTTTTCTGGACCCAATCGTACCATACTTTCCAACTGTTATAAAATTCTGAATCTTTTTTACCATTGATCAATCTAGTTAATCTATCTGATTCCGCACACTCATTAATTTTATATATTATTTTCAAATCCATCGGTAAGTATTGATTTTTCCACTCCAGCGCATACGCTAATCTTGCTGCAGTGATAATGTGAATCAACAAGAACCATATATCTGATTTAACATTCAAAGGTTTTGCCCCCAATAGGAAAATCTCGGGCCTTAATTCCAAATTAACCTGTGTAATTTCCAAAATCCATTGCCGTATTTTTTTCCAATATTTAACCGCTTGCGGGCAAGTCCACCATTGGTGAAAATAAGTTCCGTTACTGTAACCGCACTTCCAACAGCAGGCAGATGTCCCGGGAAACATGTTAGCTAGTCTCGCCAGGGGGAGATGCCACCGGTAGACCATTTTATATATATTTTCTTTGTATGAAGAAGCCATGGTTAATTTCATATTTTTCAACCAAATCTGTTCCCATTGCTGGAAGTCAAGGGGATATCCAAAATTTCGCCCCCACACTATCATACAATCCTTCACTACATCCTGTCCTATCTGTAGAGACAATAAATATGCATAACATTTAGATAGTACCCCTTTCCCTCCTTCTAATAAGATCTTATCCAATTCTTGTCTTTTACGGTAGATTCCTTCACTATGTAAATCTTTTTTATACCTGGAGTGCACTTGAGAATAAGACCACCTTATATCCTTGAAGAGTTAATAATTCTCGTGACTTCGGATTACCCTGAACATCCAAAAAAACTTCATACGTCAATGTTTTCTCCCCTTTATACAATTTAGCCCAATTATTCTTTAGCTAAGACTTCGCTTTAATTAGAACGATTTATAAATCTTTTCGAAGGAACACCAATAGTAAATAAATAGTACGCTAAGGAGATACTATAAATAGGAAGTAAATATTGAGCGCAGCAGGATATGCCGGGCGTCCGAAGGTAAATCACGCGAGCATGGGGATGCTGCCATGGTCATAAGTGTGAAAAGTGGTCATAAGTGTCACTGTAACTCCGAACGGTCACTAAATGAACTGTGGTAAGTCGAGGACTACCTGTACAGAAAATTAAATGGGACAAGTACGCTTAAGGAAAGGGTGATTTCCTTAAGCGTACTTAAGCGCTCCAACTGTGGAGCGACTACAGAAAAGACGTCCCGTATTTCTTACATCTGTTAACCTCAGGGAGACAAGGACAAAGGGCTGTGATAGGAAGAGGGAGGTACTTGAAAATAATAATAATTATAATAATAATAATTCCCTCAACACTGTCAAACTATTTACTAAGTCTGCACTACTATTAATCTTCTCAGCGTTCCTATCACCCATCTCCTCCCATTTACGACTGTACCTTTGTTGCTGGTATCCTTACAATTTATATTGATATTGTTTCCTGATTGCTTATTTGTACCCTATGACTATCATTAAGTGTTGTACCTTATGATTCTTGACGAATGTATCTTTTCTTTTTATGTACACCGAGAGCGTATGCACCAAAGACAAATTCCTTTTGTGTCCAATCACACTTGGCCAATAAAATATTCTATTCTATTCTATTCTATTCTATTCTATTCTATTCTATTCTATTCTATTCTATTCTATTCTATTCTCTACTCTCTACATTCTACTATTCTTATTCTATTCTACAGTCTACTCTCTATACTCTACACTCTACTATTCTATTCTACTCTACTCTTCTATTCTATTCTATTCTCTACACTCTACTATTCTATTCTATTCCTATTCTATTCTACAGTATACTCTACTGGCTACTCTCTACACTCTACTATTCTATTCTATTCTATTCTACGCTCTACACTCTACACTCTTCTATTCTATTCTATTCTATTCTTATTCTATTCTACAGTTTACTCTATACTCTACTCTCAACACTCTACTATTCTATTCTACTCTACACTTCTATTCTATTCTATTCTCTACACTCTACTATTCTATTCTATGCTATGCTATGCTATTCTATTCTACAGTCTACTCTTCTCTTCTCTTCTCTTCTCTTCTCTTCTATCCTATCCTATCCTATCCTATCCTATCCTATCCTATCCTATCCTATCCTATCCTATCCTATCCTAGCCATCGTCCTTGAATTGGGACCCAATTCCTGTTTTTGCCTCCCCCAGGATTTGGTGGGAGCTGTTTCCAAAAAGATGTTCTGAATTTGGTTTATCTTTGCGAGGCTCTGAACTTATCTGAAGTGGCTCGCTATTGGCAACAGGTAAGGCAGAGGTGGGCTTTGGGAGGGAACGCCATCCTAAGGGAATGCGATTAATCTACTTTGGTTCCCATTTTGGTCCCTGGACGTCTTGCTAGGATGGGAAGCACGATGAATGGTTGTATTTGTTTTGACCTAGGCTTCCCCAGCAGCACGAAGCCAAGTCCTCGTCCCGATAAACCCCTTTTATTTAATTTACAGTGAATTCCTCTCCAGCAAAGTCTTTCCTCCCCCGCAGCCTTTCAAGATAGTTCACAATTACCGACCTTTATACGGCTTGGAGAGGGGCCAGGCCGATATCTTTCAGACGCCCGCAATACTTGGCAAGAATGCAGGAATGAACTAATTGTCTCCTGCAAACTCCACTCCCCTTTCGCTCCTCTTTTATTCCCTCTGGGAGGGGCCCTTCATCATCCACCTGTGGCCTTACTCCCAAGTCGACCCTTGTTCCTTAGCTGTTCCCTTCGTCTGGCAGCTTTGCGCATGCACACATCGGGAACAGGCTCCAGCTGTTTGTCTGCCCCACTGATATCCGAATCCAAAGGTAGTTGATAACTGTCGGACGGCCCTGGCCCCCTCTCTGCCTCCGACGCAGAGCCTTCCCCAGACTCTAGGACTGGCCCATGTTCCTCCCCAACCTCCTCACTATCCGAATCTGCTGCCAGATCCACTGGCGGGCCACAACATTATTGTGGTATAGGACCCATCATCTTAAGTGGTGTGCCATTATGTTGTCTTCACAATATGGGCAGAGACTGGATCTATTTTGCCTAGAGATTTCAAGCCTCGGCCTCTTAAATTCCCCACCCTTAAAAAAAAGAATGATTTTATCGGATATTTATTGTTTTTAACCTATTTGTAGCTTCTTCTCTAATATATACGCTGCAGGTCTGCCTTCATTCCTAAACATAAAGGAAAATAACCTGAAATTATGTATTTTTGGGGGGCGGGTTGTCTCTGGTGCTCTCAGAACTTGGTTGTTTTCTTGTGGACGTTTCATTACCCAAATAGGTAACATCATCAGTGTATGGAAGTGGTGGGTCTGTTTATAGATATACATAAACAGAGAACAAACCTCACTCCCTTCTACTAAGCCCTACTAAGCAGGTATATTCAAAAGTATGAAGGCTACTGTAATGCATTGTAAGCCGCCCTAAGTCTCCTGAGAAGAGCGGCATATAAATCGAACAAACAAACAAACAAATAAATAAATAAATTCCCCCAGCCTTTGGGTGTTTATAAACTCGGGACACAAGAAAAAAAAAATTGAATTTCATTTGATGTTTACAAAGGAGGAGCCTTTACTCTCCCTCTCTCTCTCTCCCCACCCCACCCCCCTTTCTTTCTTCCAACACATAATGGCAGGTGATTGACATGAATGACTATCAACGAAGGAGATTTGCTTCCCGGATCATCGATAGCCTCTTCAACACAGTCACCGATAAGAAGATTGCTATTTTGGGATTTGCATTTAAAAAGGACACAGGAGATACCAGGTAAAAAGCTGTTGTGCCCCAGCTACGGACCCCAAACAACGCAGCACACACAAAGTCCGTTCAAACCTTAGTTTACTAAATAAACCAGTTTTTTTACAACAATGGCTGTTAATTAACTGCATTAACAGCCGCCAAGAATTCAAAGAATAATAACTGAAAGCTTACTGTGGTTGCCAGAATGCCCAGAAGCAATTTGCAGGAAGCTGATAAGACAAAACACGAAGGTATGTGAACTAAGTTGTTCCCTGCAAATTGCTTCAGTCGGCGTTCCTCCTTAAATAGGCTAAGGGAGTGGCCAATTAGCCCCAAGCTTTACTCTCGAGGAGACCTCCTCCTGAGGAGCCACTCCTGCCTTTTGGCAGCTCTGCGCGCCCGTGCATCGAGAAGAGGCTCCTCCTCTTCATCCTCTTCACTTAAAGGAGCTTCTGGAGGTTCTGAAGGCCCTGGCTGAATCCCCACCTCTGGCACCACATCTTCTCCAGCCTCCTCATTGTCCGACTCGAGTGCCAGCTGCACAGGCTGCTGACGCAGCACCACACCAGCCTCCTCGCTGTCCGAATCAGCTACTAGCTGCACAGGCCGCGTATGGGCCACAACAAAAGGAGGGAAGCTCGAGCCTCGAGCTGCTTCTTCAGAACTGAAGAAGCTTCTTGGATGAGAAGCGAAATGTCTTCAAAGAAAAAAAACCATAAAAGTCCAGTTGCCTGTTGGGGAAAAAAAAAAGCACCTTTGAGGCAACCCTGACCCTGATGGCTGAGAAACTCTGTAGACATCTTTTAATTTTGATCACTATGGCCATAAAATGTCAAAAACGGTCCTAAATCACCTTTTTCAGTGCCGTTATAACTTTGAAAGGTCACTAAATGAAGTGGTGTAAGCTGAGGACTGCCCTTAGAGATTGACAGCTTCTCTGCACCTGAACACTCTGTGTTTGATACCATCTCCCAAAACTTTCCTTTCCTCTATCATTTAGGAGAGCGTGGCTGAATCGGTAGGTACCGTATTTTTTGGACTATTAAGACGCACCGGAGTATAAGACGCACCAAGGTTTCGAGGGGGGAAAACAAGAAAAAAAAAAAGTTTTTGCCCTCCCCGGGCCCCAGGAGTGCTCTGCAGGCCTCCCAAACCCTCTGCGTGTCCCATTTTTGTGAAAAAGAAAAGGGACCGGGGAGTGCAAAAATGGCACGCGTGGGGGGGTTTGGGAGGCCAAAAAAGGGCCCGTTTTTGGCGAAAACAGGATGCGCGTGGCAGGGTTTTGGAAGGCCAAAAATGGCCGTATTCGGTGTATACGATGCATCAACATTTCCACCCTCTTTTTTGGGGGGTGGAGTGTGTCTTATAGTCCGAAAAGTACGATAAATTCAGTACACTCCCTCAATGATAGCACACCCAACCAGGAAATGTTCATCACCCGATGATGCTAGTTACCTTTTGCTGTTTAGGGCCCTGGGGTTAACAGAACATTCAGGTCTACGATTAAACAGTAATTTTAAATTACGATTAAACAGTAATCCCTAGTTTTATAGTTTAAAGGACACATTCTTTTTGGTCCAGAGATTGAACTAAGCAAGATGGGTTTTTTCTCCCCCCCACCCCCAAATATAAAGTTTAGAAGTGATTACAGGTTGAGCAGGTAGGTAGACGTATCCCGATTTCTATTGCTGTAATTTTCATTTGATGTTTGACCACTCATCGTTCTGCTTGCTTGCAAAAACTACGGTGTGTTCAGATGAGATTAGAAATGTGGTAGGTGAGAGATACAGGGATGGATGGATAGATAACAATGGATAGAGTTTAAATTGGAAACTCAACTATTCCTTTCTTTTCTTTCTTTCTCTCTTTCCTTCCTTCCTTTTCTTTTTTTTCTTCTTCCCGCCTTCCTCTTTAAAACTGTCTATTTCCTTCATTTCTCTTGCTAATGTGGGCATCCCTTTTCCTTCCTAACTTTCTTCCTTTCTCTTTTCCTTCCTTCCTTCCTTTCTTTCTTTCCTTCCTTTCTTTTTCTTCCTTCCTTCTTCTTCCTTCTTTCCTCTTTCTCTTTCCTTCCTCTTTCTTTCTTTCCTTCCTTCCTCTTTCTTTCCTTCCTTCCTTTTTTCCCTTCCTTCCATCTGTTCTTCCTTTCCTTCTTTCCTTCCTTTCCTCTTCCCGCCTTCCTCTTTAAAACGGTCTATTTCCTTTATTTCTCTTGCTGATGTGGGCATCCCTCTTCCTTCCTGACTTTCTTCCTCTTTTCCTTCCTTCCTTCCTCTTTCTTTCCTTCTTTCCTTCCTTCCTTTCTCTTTTTCTTCCTTTCTTCTTCTTCCTTCCGTCCTTCCTCTTTCCTTCCTTCCTCTTTCCTTCCTTCCTCTTTCTTTCCTTCCTTTTTTTCCTTCCTTCCATCCGTCCTTTCTTTCCATCTTTCCTTCCTTTCTCTTTCTTTCCTTCCTTCCATCCTTCCCCCTTTTCTTTTTTCTTCTCTTTTCTTTTTTTCTTTCTCACAAGGAATTTATGTCACATTACAGAAGCACTCCATGCTTTCCCCAGAAGTAAATCACATCACTTCCAGTGGTGATTAGTCTAATGCCCATCTGTTTTGATAAGTTGGTAAACCGTTGCCTGACTTTTCAACCCCGGGTGTCCTAGGTCAAACTGTCAATGATGGTTAACAGAGGTAGGGATTTCAGGATGTTGCACATTTTTATTTTTTAGAGAATCTTCCAGTATCTACATCAGCAAATATTTAATGGACGAAGGTGCCAGGCTCCATATCTATGATCCCAAAGTACTGAAAGAGCAAATCATTCTGGATCTTTCGCACCCAGGGGTCTCCGAGGATGACCAAGGTGAGTGGGATGAGCTTCCTAAAAACGTCTCCGAGTCTCAGAAAGGAGGCATGTCTGTACAGAAAATAAGCAAGATGAACAAAAAAAGCTAAACAAAATCAGGATATTGAGCCACAGTGGCGCAGTGGTCAGAATGCGGTACTGCAGGCTACTTCTCCTGACTGCCGGCTACCTGCAATTTGGCAGATCGAATCTCACTAGGTTTAAGGTTGACTCAGCCTTCCAGCCTTCCGAGGTGGGTAAAATGAGGACCCAAAATTGTTGGGGACAAGATGCTGACTCTGTAAGCCGCTTAGAGAGGGCTGTAAAAACACTGTAAAGCGGTATATAAGTCTAAGTGCTATTGCTATATTGAAAAGCCTTTTTCATAATGCACGTCAAAATTGGGAAAGAGAAAACAACTGGAGTGATCACTGAGACCAAAGAATAAACTGGTTGCTACCTGCATGCTGTAATTGAATTTTTTTAAAAAATACAGGTAGCTCTCAACCTAACGACCACACAGTTGAGGGTCTCCAGCCGAGCAGGGGGCTGGACTAGAAGACCTCCAAGGTCCCTTCCAACTCTATTCTGATTCTGATTCAGCCATTTCTTTCTTATTTTATGGAGTTCGGTATGGATCCCTAAGCAAAAGAAGACTCATTCAAATTGCATGAAAGGTGTTTGTGCTAATGGAACCACGGGAAAACAATATTGATGGGAAATTATTCTGCTTTTTTGTTGAGTTCTTCAGCCTCTCCCACTGAAATCGATTTTAAATGGTGCTTTTTTTTTCAAGAGGCCGCTGGACTTTCTGGTTTTTCTTTGAAGAAGTTTTCCTTCTCATCCAAGAAGGATGCTCAGGGCTTGACGCCAACTTCTCTCTTTTCCTTCCCGTTTTAGTCTCGCGACTGGTCACCATTACTAAGGACCCGTACGAAGCCTGCGAGGAGGCCCACGCTCTCGTAATTTGCACAGAGTGGGACATGTTTAAGGTAAACACAGTGAAAAGCTCTGCATAAGAGTATCCAATGCGACTCGTTCCCGTCGTTTGAAACCTATCTTGGGCATCTTTTGCAGGAGCTGGATTACGAGCGCATTCACAAGAAAATGCTGAAGCCGGCTTTTATCTTCGATGGCAGGAGGGTCCTGGATGATCTCCATCATCAACTGCAAGCGATCGGGTTCCAGGTATGATCTCCTTCCTGTTCTGTCCCCAACCACACGCACACACACCAACAGACGTTCAAGAGTTAAAGACTAAACCAGCCGGCAAAATCCTTTTCCTTAAGATAACGGAACTTGGCAACAACCTAGTGGCTGCCTGCCAAGAGTTTATTATTTACAAAGAGGAGAGATAACTTCTCCCTGCTTCTGGTACATCAAAAGAAACAGCTCAATAATTACGGAAGTCCAGAGATAATCCAGCTAAGTCTTATAGCAAAAGTCCGGCAATGCAGAATGGCGTGGAAGCTTTTAGCTTTGTTCGTCACAAGGTTTGACTGGCCACCACGCTCCCTTTTATATCCTGTGGGGTGTGGTCCAGTGACTCAGCCTAATCTCGGGCACGCCTTTTCTTCTGTTGCGAGCGCTTATCTCTGTGACGCTGGCGTGGATCCAGCCAAGACTCATTACCCTCATCACTGTCCACCTGTGGCTGCGTGGACGTGCTTGGCCCCGGCCCTATCTCTTGCCCTTCGGCGGACACCGGAGGCATTGCCAGAGAGGAGGGTCCTGGAGAGGGAGGCCTTGACAACTCCTCTTCTTCACTCTCGGAGTCCTCTCCTGCCGATGACACAGGCTCAGGTAACGGAGCAACAACACTTCCGTTTTTCTGCTCACTAACCAAGTTTTCTCACCCAGCTCCCAAATACGACAAACCCTCTGTAGTTAAATCAATGATTCCTTTATCAGCCGCGGCAAAAAAATTCTCTCTCACAGCAGGCTAACAAGTCCGTCTGGCAGGGAGATGAATAGTTATCTGCCACATCTATTCATTTCCTCCCCCTGCCTTTTATCCCCAGAGCTAGCAGCGGTGATCTTCCGTCCCAAGGACCGGCCTGTAGATTTCCACTGCTCTCCTCTCCTCTCCCTTCTGCACATGTCAGGCACTTGACCCAGCTGTTCCTCCTCTTCCTCATCAACCATCTCCTAGCCTCACAAGGCTGGGTTCGCACAACCAATTGAGAATAAAATGCGTGGCGAGTTTGTAATTCAGCGTGCCGCGTGAAAGCCGCCAATATTTGGCCGGGAGGGTCTTCTGGAAAGGTTAGGAAAGGCTTTAGGCAAGAAGAGCCGTCAGCTCTGCGTTATCTTCTATCTTTCCATCCCGCAAGCTTGAAGGAGCAGATAATGGAGAAGACAGATAGGGATAAAAAGAGAATCTTTGTAGCTCAAGGTGGAACTGTGGGGTCCTTGGTGGTCTCTGAGCTTGGTGCTTTTCTTGCAGACCTTTCATTTCCCAGTTAGTAACATCAGTGCTAAAAAAAACAAAAAAATCCAAACCCATTCCCTTCTAAGCTGTGGATACCGGCATCGCCTGATCTAGCCACCCCATCACTTTTGATGGGAGGGGAGTTATTTACTCCCTCTGAAAAGGCTCGCAATCTTGGCATCCTCCTCGATTCACGGCTGTCCTTGGTGGACCATCTATCGGCCGTGACAAAGGGGGGCCTTTGCACAGGTTCGCCTAGTGCGCCAGTTGCGGCCTTTCCTAGACAGGGATGCCCTCCGTACAGTCACTCAAGCTCTCATTGTCTCTCGGTTGGATTACTGCAAATGCCCTCTACATGGGGCTGCCCTTGTGGCGCTCCAGCTGGTCCAGAATGCGGCCGCGCGGGTTGTTACGGGAGCTTCCCGTTGCTCTCGTGCAACACCTCTCCTGCGTGAGCTGCACTGGCTGCCGGTGGCCTTCCGGATCCGCTTCAAGGTGCTGGTATTGACCTATAAAGCCCTTCGTGGCATGGACCCAGGGTACTTGCAGGACCACTTCCTACCAGCCTCCCACCGCCCTGTGCATTCACATAGAGCTGCCCTCCTCCGGGTGCCATCGGCCAGACAGTGTCGGCTGACGGCTCCCAGGATGAGGGCGTTCTCTGTGGCCGCACCGACCCTTTGGAATGGGTTACCCACCGAGCTCCGGACGGCTCCCGATCTCCGCACTTTCCGCGCTGGCCTGAAGACATGGCTGTTCCAGCAAACTCCCTGATCATTCTACGAGGTTTTAAATTTGGGGGTTTTAATTTTGGATTGGTTTTAGATTTTATTGTGATTGTTTTTTATTTATGTGAGCCGCCCTGAGTCCTTCGGGAGAAGGGCAGCATATAAATTTAAAGGAAGGAAGGAAGGAAGAAAGGAAGAAAGGAAGGAAGAAAGAAAGAAAGAAAGAAAGAAAGAAGGAAGGAAGGAAGGAAGGAAGGAAGGAAGGAAGGAAGGAAGGAGAAAGAAGAAGGAAGGAAGGAAGAAGAAAGAAAGAAAGAAAGAAAGAAAGAAAAAGAAAGAAAGAAAGAAGAAGAAGAAAGAAAGAAAGAAAGAAAGAAAGAAAGAAAGAAAGAAAGAAAGAAAAAGAAGGAAGGAAAGAAAGAAAGAAAGAAAGAAAGAAAGAAAGAAAGAAAGAAAGAAAGAAAGAAAGAAAGAAAAAAACACTGATGATGTTCCCTAGTTGGGTAATAAAACGTCTGCAAGCTCCGAGAGCATCAAAGACCCCAGAGATAAGACTGAGCTTCGTCAGAGTTTCCATTATCTTGACTTGAGAGACCCAGCCTGACTCACCTGTACACCTGTCCCAGCAGGTGAAGGCCTGGTAGGAAAGGCTCAGACTCCTTACGGCATGACAGGCGAGCAGCTCCTTCAGCTTTCTCGCCTCGTGTTTATTCATCCACATTGAAAGCTTCAGCCACCCCTCGTTTTTCAAGAAAGGGGCAAGGAAGCTGCCTTCCAGGGTTGCTACTTCAAGGAGGAAGGGGGAGCCCCTGCTTCCTTCATTCTGGCACAGGAATACGGGAGCCGCAGCGAGGCAGATGTATTCGTGTACGTGTCACATTTCTGAACCAGCCACTGCAAATTCACTTGCGCAAAGCAGTTAACGGCGCTTCCCCTGGTCTGTGTGGCATGAGGAAAAAAGGGACAGGGTTTAGAATAGAATAGATCTGGTAAGGGACCTTGGAGGTCCAGCCCATTCAAGCAGGAGAACCTATACCAGTAATGGTTAACCTTTTTGCTATCGCGTGCCAGGAAGGGGGGGGGAGCGGAGGAGGTTCGCGTGCACGTGTGACCACACTCATAATTCTATGCACCCCGCCCCGTGCATGCGACCCCCCTTCCCCCCGCTCCTAGCACACGATGGCGGGTAGGCCCATTTTTCCTTCTCATCTGGCTCCAGATCCTCTCTATGCATCTGGGGAGGGTGAAAACAGCCTTCCCCACCCTCTCGGAGGCCCGAAACGGCCCGTTTCCCAACTTCTGGTTGGACAGGAAGTGACTTTTTTGCTGTCCCCAGCCTCCAGAGACTCCGACGCATGTGCACCGGAGCTGAGCTGGCGTGCCAGGCAACACGGCTCCACGTGCCGCCTGTGGCATGTGTGCCATAGGTTCGCCATCACGGACCTATACCATTGCAGACAAGTGACTGTCCAGTCTCTTCTTAAAAACCTCCAGTGATGAAGCACCCACAACTTCTGGTGGCAAGCTGTTCCACTGGTTAATTGTTCTCTCTTTTAAGAACTTTCTCCTTAATTCCAGGTTGCTTCTCCCCTGGATTAGTTTCCAACCATTATTTCTTGTCCTGCCCTCTGGTGCTTTGGAGAATTAATTTGACCCCCCCCCCCTTCTTCTTTGTGGCAGCCCCTCAAGTACTGATTTCATTCTTCAGAAATGGGGGAAAAAAATCAGCTTTGTCAGCTAAGTTTTGTGTATTTTTCCCTTTTGCTTCAGATCGAGACAATCGGGAAGAAAATCTCAGCCAAAAGAATTCCCTTCGCGTCATCCGGAGACATTCCGAAATTCAGTCTGCAGGACCCTCCTCTAAAGAAGCCGAGAGTCTAGGCTTCATTGGTACAGAAAAGTTGGGATAAGAAGGAAAACAGAAGGAAATAATAGGCACCCCTTGAGCCTCAATGAAGCATTACAAATGGTTTGATTTCAATAGGAGATTTAAATATCTCCCACTGAAACCCCACTTAACACTCCGCTCTGGCTAAACGAAGTTTAGCATTTTTGCACAGGATTTTATACGAACTATTGAGGTACAGCGCCGTCGTTATGTGGGACATTTTCAACCAGAATTCTCTTTTATAAGGTCTATTTTTCTAGTATTGTAACTTCTACCAATGACGTGTTAACTATACAACCATCGTGTTTTTAATAACTTTTTAACGGAACATCGTCTTCGAACTTCCAAGATTTTAGGGGTTGGTTTGTTTTGCAAGATTTCACAGACTCAAACTTTAGCTTTGACATCTTGGATTGAAAATAGGAGAAAGCAAGAGGTTTCCTACCCTATTTAATAGGTTGTCACCTACTAATACCATGTAACATTATTCACGTTGGAAGTTTAAATTAAGACTTGTCTGGTATGGAAATCTCCAGCAAAGGGATATTTTTATTCGTGAGTGAAATCAAGGCATTAATGAAATGACGGTTGAGGTAATTTGCATAAAAATAATGCTTAGTCCAGAGAAGACCCAAAATAAGGAATTATTAATTCTGCTTTCTCTTCAGTCGCTGATATGTTGACCATCACTTTCAGAGGTTTATATGGAAGCCCACCTTAGAAGCTAAACCAAGCACGTTTCTTATTGTGGTTAAAAACAGACCTGGGACTTTATAGTTTTGTCCAGATATGGAATTGATCTGATTTTAGTACGCTACATTAAGCTAATTTATTGTAACCGTAGTTTACTGAATAAATCAAAAGTTAGCCCGGTTCGTACAATACCGTAAGCCAAGACCAAGCAAGCAAAATACAATTTTAAGCACGCTGTGTGAACTGGGACACACAACATATCCTTAAAATATCTGGGAAAATGTGTTCGTTTTGCAGAGTCTTGGGCATTACCAGTATCTTTTCACATCCTTATTACAAGACAGAGGTCTGATTTTTGATTATTTTTTTTTCCTTTGGCAGTTTGTTCCAGTAAACGACGCATAAAATAATAACCAAAGGATTTTTGTTTTTCGGTACCCGCGGGAATAAATATAATAAATATAAAACTGGAATACCCATCACTGCAATGGGATTGTGGTTTAATTCTCAACGCATTTGTACTGAACATAAACAAAACAGGAGCCCTTCTTTTCCTTGGATCAGCTGCAAACAACTGTCTGAGGGACCATTTTGTCAAACGGCCTCAAAATTAGCACGTCGATTCATTTTTTGATTCAAGAGCCTCATTCGTACCTTTTATAAAACGGTCTTGTTAGTTGGCAGGGAAAAGATAATATTGTAGCCGAGCTTCAATCCAGCAGTTTAATCAAGAATATCATATACGGTACAGATGCTTTTAATCCTATTTAAAGCCAACGAGAAAAGTCATTTTGTTGTGTTTTACGCAAACGGGGATAATGACTGACAGTTGCTCTTGACTAGGATTGAAAAGACGGTTAGCAATATGATGGGGACTACTACGGAGCAAACAGTGATTATTGATGAGAGAGGGGAAAAAATGCATATCCATCTTTTGATTCCTTAATGTATGTGTCTCATTCTACCTCTGTTTTTCTTGATATGTTTGAACGCCGCTAATTGGATAATGAGTGATTCTTTTTTTTTGTACAATATCACAATGTGTCAGGATCCAGGAACAAATAAAATATTTTGTATTCTTTTTTTTTTTTCTACAAAGCAACAAAAGCCTCCCCAGTTGTTTTAATTTGGGTTTATCCGGGATGTTGCCGTCTAGAACACAAGGGAAGGAATGGGATTCTTCTTCTTGGTCTCGGACGCATCAGATGTCCTTCTTCTTTCTCTTATGGATTAAGTTTTTCAAGAAAAATTCACCTGCGCAGCCCCCAAAACAAAAGCAGACGTTTTAACCAAGCGGCAAAATTTTCCCTTGTCCATTTTTGTCATCATTGCAGGAAAATACAAGAGAGCCATCAATTAACGGGAGGAGTTTTTTGTGTGTGGGGGGGAAACTAAAATTTCCAGAGTATCTGGGAATTTATAGCTTCTCTGCTATTTGATTCTTTTACAAGTTTAAGCGTCGTCCAAAAAGCAAAAAGTATTTCAAAAAACTATCATTTGGTTTTTTTTAAAGCTAAATAACTATCCAAAATCTGCCAGTAACTCAGAAATTAGCTATTGTACCTCAAAAAATGTAACCTCTCTGAAAGAAAATCTATTTTTAAGCTTCTCAAACATAGCTGTCATTCAAGAAGAAGTAGGGCGTATTCTGATTTTAAAGAGCACTTGTAACAGAGCGTCCATGTTAGAACAAAGGTTGCAAATTACATCGCAGTTTTACATCTAAATTAATCCTGGCTACGGACTGCTGCACACGGGACTTCTGAAGTCTTCACGAAGATCTAATTGACATGGATTAATAATTGACATATCGGACTTGTTCAACCTGTCAGTGGGAATAAATCCTGTACATTTGGGCTACACTGCTGTAGTACAGTGCTGGCTAACCTTTTCGCCATCGTGTGCTAGGAGAGGGGGGGCGTGGGGGGTCACGCGCACGCGTGCCCACACCCATAATTTTATGCGCTGTGCCCATGTGCACATGACCCCCCTCCCGCTCCTCCCGCTCCTGGCACGCGATGGCTCGGTAGGCCTGTTTTTCTTTCTCACCTGGCTCCAGGGCCTCTCTAGGAGTCTGGGGAGGGCGAAAACAGCCTTCCCCACCCCCCCGGAGGCTGAAAAGGGCCCGTTTAACAACTTCCAGTGGGACCGGAAGGCCCATTTTTTGCTGTCCCGTCTCCAGGGCCTCTCTAGGAGTCTGGGGAGGGCAAAAATAGCCTTCCCCCCACCCCCTGGAGAGCCTCCGGAGGCCGAAAACGGGCCGTTTGACAACTTCCAGTCCCACCGGAAGTTGTCAAACGGCCCGTTTTCAGCCTCCGGTTGACCTCCAGGGGTATGTGTGGGAAAGACTGTTTTTACCCTCCCCAGACTCCTAGAGAGGCCCTGGAGCCAGGTAAGAAAGAAAAACGGGCCTCCTCCCCCTGGCCCTCCAGGGGCAGGAAACAGCCTGTTTCCGTACTTCTCGTGGGCCCAGAAGACCCGAAAATCAGCTGGCCGGAGCTGAGCTCGCGTGCCCACTGATATGGCTACGTGCCATAGGTTCATCATCACGGCTGTAGTAGTTAACATATTAGGTTAGAAGACCTGAGTTCTAGTCCTGACTCGGGCTTCTTGGTTTCAGCCAGTCAGTCTCTCTTAAGCCCCGAGAAGGAGGTAATGGCAAACTGCCCATTCAAAATGCAAATACAATTTACTAGCAATAATTTAATTAATAATCCTTGAGCAATCTGCGGCACTCTGGATACTGTGGCTGGACTGAGTGACAGGCTTACGGTCCTGCTAATCGGACAACTCATTGTACCTGCTTTGTAAGAAGAGCGCACCAGAGGCCCACTAGCTGTGTAATGAAATCCGAGGTCGTTTCCAACTTTCTCCCAGTGTTTAAATTTCTCCGGAGTGACATATTCTTCAACCTGAAAAAAAAAAAAACCAATATTATAAAGGCAGATGAATTCTGGGTAAATCTTGAAATGGGATAGTTTTCTAATTGTTTTCGCAAAAGCATTTTTATACAGGTAGTCCTCGATTTACAACAGTTCGTTTAGTGAACGTTTGAAGTTACGACACTGGAAAAAAAATAACCTGTGACCATTTTTCACTCTTTAACGAGAGTGTAACATTCCTCACGTGATTAAAATTCAGGCGCTTGGCAAACTGGCTGATATTATGTTAGCCGTGTCCTCGGGATCGGCTGATCCCTTTTCGTGACCTTCCGTCAACAGGGAAGCCAGATTCACTTAGCAACGCGTTACTCGTTTTAACAACTTGAAGGGATTCACTTACCAACTGTGTCAAGAAAGATCGTAAAATGGGATAAAACTCACTTAACAACTGCCTCACTTAGCAATCGAAATTTGGGGTTCAATGGCGCTGTGCTGAATTTAGAATTATTTTTAGGGCAGAATCCTTATGCAAAACGGAAGAACAAAAATTGATCCTTTTGGAACTTATTAAATCTCACCGCTGGGCAAATGGCCAGGTTTAGACACTTTTTTGGGGATGTGGTGGCTCAGGGGCTAAGATGCTGAGCTTGTCGATCGAAAGGTCGGCAGTTCAGCGGTTCGAATCCCTAGTGCCACGTAACGGGGTGAGCTCCCGTGACTTGTCCCAGCTTCTGCCAACCTAGCAGTTCGAAAGCACTTAAAAAAATGCAAGTAGAAAAATAGGGGCCACCTTTGGTGGGAAGGGAACTGCATTCCATGCGCCTTTGGCATTGAGTCATGCCGGCCACATGACCACGGAGACGTCTTCGGACAGCGCTGGCTCTTCGGCTTTGAAACGGAGATGAGCACAGCCCCCTAGAGTCGGGAACGACTAGCACGTATGTGCGAGGAGAATCTTTACCTTTATACCTAAACACTTTTTAATATTGGCCCCCTGGGGTTTTTTTGTAAGGAACTGCCGAGCTTGCTGCTAACTATCATAGTATGTAAAATGTTTAAATTTGAACTATTCTGAAATCGAATCATCTTGTTACAGCCTGGAAAAGTCCTCCTTCAAATGTGAAAAAAAAAATGACTTCATAAGATTTAAAAAAAGGGAGTTTTTGAGCATTTTCAAAGGGCTTTTTGAGGGGGCTCCAAGCGGTAATTTGATGGTCAAATACTTTCCAAAGTGCTTCAATTCACCTGTTTTGCATTTGGGATGGGATATTACGAACCGAACATCTGGGTCTCGATTCAAAATGTTTATTGCCAGCTGTAAAATGTAATTTAATATTAGTCCAGATGTTATCCAACAGGTTTTAGAGTATCAGAAGCAATGAATAGCCTTAATTCTTCCAATTAGTTCTAAAATAAAATACCTTTAGATGCCGTTTTGTTGGTTGCATATACTGTCCCAAGGTCAAGCAATCCACATCAGCTTCACGTAATCCTATTTCGTTGTTTAAAAATAGATAATTTTAGTAATTGACAGAACAAGGATTGGCATTTTTCTTCTAATGAGTTGTTTTTACAATAATTTTAATTTACAAACCAAGGTAGTCCTCAACTTACAACCATCGTTAAACCCAAAATTTCTAAGTGAGACCTTTGTAAAGTGAGTTCTGCCCCATTTTACCACTTTTCTTGCCACAGTTGTTAAGTTAGTAACACGATTGTGAAGTGAAATCTGACTTCGCTGTTGATTTTGGTTGTCGGAAACTCGCATGAGCCCAGGACGCTGAAAACTGTCATAAATATGAGTCAGTTGCCAAGTGCCTGGATTTTAATGATGTGACCACAGGGATGATGCAACGGTCGTAAGTGTGAAAAACGGTCATAAGTCACGTTTTTCAGTGCCGTTATAACTTTGAGTGGTCACTAAATAAACTGTTGTAAGTCAAGGACTACCTATACCTGTGATGGTACGCGTAGCCATATCAGTGGGCACGTGAGCTCAGCTCCAGCTGATTTTCGGGCCTTCTGGGCCCACCAGAAGTAGGGAAACAGGTTGTTTCCTGCCTCCGGAGGCCCTCGGCGGATGGTGGGGAAGGCCCGTTTTTCTCTCTCACCTGGCTCCAGAGCCTTTCTAGGAGTCTGGGGAGGGCGAAAACGGCTTTCCCCACCCCACTGGAGGCCCACCAAAGGCCAGAAACAGTCCGTTTGCCAACTTCCGGTGGACCAGAAGGCCCATTTTTTGCTGTCCGCAGCCTCCAGAGCCTCTCTAGGAGTCTGGGGAGGGCGAAAACGGCCTTCCCCACCCCACTGGAGGTCCTCTGGAGGCCGACAACAGCCCATTTGCCAAGTTCCAGTCCTATCAGAAGTTGGCAAATGGCCCATTTCTGGCCTCTGGAGGGCCTCCGAGTGGGTGGGGAAGGCTGTTTTCACCCTCCCCAGACTCCTAGAGAGGCTCTGGAGCAGTGGTGAAATCTAAAATTTGTTACTACTGGTTCTGTGGGCGTGGCTTGGCGGGGGGGTAATGTGACTGGGTGGGCGTGGCCAATTTTTTTTCCTTTTAAAACCATTTTTTCTACAACCTCTTTGGCGACGAGGTTGTAAAAAAATGCTTTCAAATGGCTCTGACGATCCCAGCTGAGTTGCCTCTGGGAATGAACGTAATTCTCAGTTGTTACAATAAAATAGATTTTTGGGGGACTAATTGTGCATTGTAAGGACTCAGTAAGCCTAGGTCGTAATAAAATGTTTCATTTAGCAACAGAAGGCTCACCTGTCTACGACGCACGTAAATAGGGGTGGAGCATAGACTGCCCATTTGGAGAGGCCAACTTCATTTTTTTTTTCTTTTTTGACCCCCTGCCCTACCCATCCCATCCCTTCTCCTCTCCACTTACTTTTCAGGGTGGCGAGCAATTGTTCGTCGGTCTCCCCCAGGCCAAGCATGATCGACGTTTTAGAAATCACGTCAGGCTGAACTTCCTTAGCGCGCTTCAAAACGCGAACGGATTGCTCGAAATTTGCTCGTGGATCACGAATTTTGCTGCAAAGAAAAAAGGAATGCGCAAGATTTTAGCCTAACGCAAGTAAAGGTTTTGACGGATCTTAGCTAGGTTTGATCCAGGGGTAAAATGTAAAATTTGTTACTACCGGTTCTGTGGGCGTGGCTTGGTGTGGCGGTGGTGGTAATGTGACTCGGTGGGCG